GTTGTACGTAGGGTCGCTATGAGTTGCAAGCTACTTGACGGCACATAATTACAACAACAACAACATCAAACTTCTTATTGTTATTAATCTGTATTCCTGAATCATTTCATTAGATAGATCTCTGGAAGTAGGAAAGACAAAACTTTGCATTTGGTCTATTGTACTGAGTTTAAAGGCTTGGAATAATTTCTTGAGGAAAATAACAAAGTTTACTTTCAGGAACCATTAAGCTATTTGTACAGCATTCTACTTAGAGTCTTTAATTTCTGTAAAACTCGGAACTTTAATATATTTTTATTTGTTTGAATTTTTTAATCATGATTTTAACAAAAATGTACTGATAAGTTTGGATTTTCATTCATTCAGTGTTGCATGTTTTCCTCCCTAGCCTCCTCCCAGTTCACTTTAGTATATATACATATTTATTCATTGTTGCATAATTTTCTCCCTTCTCCCCTCTCCCCTAGTTCACTTTTGCTATGCACCTCTTATTCTGGACTGTTGTCGTACAGATAATGCTTAATCATATACCTTCTGAACAGTTCTTTCCTTCATCTGTTCCAATGCAGTGTTCATCATTTATCCCCTATTTTCTCAGTTTCCCCCAACCTGCATATCAGTCCTATTTGATGACAGTGGTATTATATAGTATTTGTCCTTTTGTGACTGAGATATTTGACTCAGCATAATGTCCTCCAGGGTCACCCATGCTGTGCACTATTTTATGAGTTCCTTGTTTTTCAGTGCTGTATTGTATTCCATTCTGTGGATATACCATAGTTTTTCAATCCATTTATTTGTTGAAGGGCACTTGGGTTGATTCCATCTCTTGGCTAGTGTGACTAATGCAGCAATAAACATGGGTGTGCATATATCTGTTTGCGTGGCATCTCTTGTGTCTTTAGGGTATATGCCTAGTAGTGGAATTGCTGGGTCAAATGGTATTTGAATTTCCAACTTTCTGAGAAAACATCATACTGTCTTCCCTAGTGTTTGTACCATTTTATATTCCCACCAGCAATGAATAAGAGCTCCAATCTCTCCACAACCTCATCAGTATTTGTTGTTTGCTGCTCTGTTGAACTTTGCTATTGTTGCTGGGTGTTCACTTGTTTTTAAAGCATATGGCACTCTCAAAATGTCAAAGTCATTGCTGTGGAGTTGAAATTGACTCAGCTGACCTGTCAGTGTGTATTCAAAGGCTGTAAATCATACAGAAGGAGATTGTACATCCTTCCCTCGTAGACCCACCGGTAGATTTGATCTGGCAGAGAGACCTTTGGTTTAGCAGCACAATTCTCTACCAACTAGGTAGAGAAATGCCACCGGGGTCTGAACTCCAGCAGCTCACAATATTAGCTTTCTGGATTTTCACCAGAGAGTATAAGCTGGTACTATCTACTGTCAACTATTTACCAAAAGAAGAAGAAGAAAGAGATGTTTTAGCAAATAAATGCAGTTCCGGATGTGCTCAATTGTGTATGTTAAGAAATTTGTAAGACAGTTACCTGGCCAAGTGACTGGAAAAGATCCATGTTTACACCCTTTCCAAACAGAGGTGTCCAACAGAATGCAGAATCATCAAACAATATCATTACCATTGCATACAAATACAATCTTGCTGCTGATAATTGAAAAATTGCTGAAGCAGTACATCTCCAGGGAACTGTCAGAAATTCAAGGTGGATTTAGAAAAGGCCGTAAACAATGGGTAGCATTGCTAATGTCAGATGGATCTTGGTCGAAAGCAGAGAATATAAGGAAAATGTTTTCAGATGAATGATGCAAAAAGTGAAGGCTATATAGTGGAGAGGATTGTATACCAATGAAAGAATTTTTCTTTTACTTTTCGAAGAGAAGAGTGAACTGGGAGAGCGAGTGGGGTGGACAGGGAGAAAAATGCAACAATGAATGAATGGGAATCCAAAGTCTCTGTAAATGTTCATTAAAATTAATTTTAAAAATAATAGAATTAAAACACATAATCACTGGATGGAAAGGTTTGGTTAACATTAAACTATTTCAGAAGCGGATCAAGAATCCATGGTGCTGAAGAAGAGGTCAGACTGTACTGAAGCATTGGCAAAAATAAGTCTCCAGGAATTTATGGTATACTAATTGAAGTGTTTCAACAAACAGATGGAACTTTGGAGTAGTTCATTTTTTTTTTTCTGCCGAGTAATGTGAAGCTACCAGTCAACTAACTGGAAGAGTTTCATATCTGTACTCATTGAAAAAAAAAAGTGATTGAAGATAATGTGGAAATTATAAAATAATATCATCAATAACACACACAAAGAAAATAGTGCCATAGGTTCAACACCAGCTGCAGCAGTACACGAGCAGGAAATTTTCAGAAATGCAATCTGGATTTAGAAGAGGGATCTTGACTGAAAGTAGAGAATACCAGAAAGAGTTTTACTTATGTTTTATTGACTATGAAAGTCATTCAACTGTGTAGATCATAATAAACTGTAGATAACACAAAGAAGTGCAGGAGTTCCAGGACACTGAACACACTCATGTGGAACCTCTACATGAAACAAAAGCCATTTATTTGAGCAGAACAAATGGATATAATTTTTTTGTTATTATGTGCCATTAAGTTACCTGCAACACATAGTGACCCTATGTACAACAGCTTTGAACCCTGCCCTGTCCTGAGCCAGTCTCACTGTCTCTGACACACCTACCCTCATTACCTCAGTTACTGTGTCAATTCATCTCATCCAAGGTCTTCCTCTTCTCTGCTGTCCCTCCACTCTTCAAGCATGAAGTTCTTCTCCGGGGCCTGGGCCTTCCTGGGCATATGCCCAAAGTATGTGAGATGGAGTCTCAAAATCCTTGCCTCCAAGAAATAGCTTGGTTTCACTCTCTCCAGGATAAACCTCTTTGTTCTCTTGGTAGTTCAAGAGTATGTTCAATACTCTTCTCCAGCACCACAGCTCAAAGAAATCAATGGTAAAAGGGTATTGTGTAGTTTAAAATCAGGAAATGTGTGCATCAGGATTGTATTCTTTCACCATACTTACTCAATTTGACTGCTCAGCAAATAATCTGGGAAATTTAGAATATATGAAGAATGTGGCATCAGGATTGGGAGAAGACTCATTAATAACCTGTATTATGCAGATGACGCAACCTTACTTATAAAAGATGATTTTAAGCACTTGCTGAAGAAGAGCAAAGACTAGAGACTTAATATGGATTATACTTCTACATCAAGAAAACAAAAATCCCCACAACTGGATCAATAAACAATATGATGAAAAAGATTGACATTGGTAAGGATTTTATTTTACTTGGACCCATGGAAGTGCAATTAGAAATCTCTAAAAAGTAGAATGGAAAGTGGAGGGCATATAAAAATACAATTGTGATGTTGTTGTGTAACATTGAGTTGGAGCTAACTGAGAGCTGACCTTCCAACAGGTTTTCAGAGGCTGTAAAATTGCCCGTCTTTCTCCCTCAAACTGACTGGTGGATTTGACATGCTTGTATTTGGTTTGACAGCATAACTACTCACTACTAGACCCTACAATACAGAAAATAAAAGGGAATGAGGTTAGTTAGAATTCTCTTTACTATAAAGAATAAAACATGTCAATCAATTGCTTGACAGAATTCCATTTTTTTCCCAGAAATAAAGTTATCCACTTTTATTCTTTATCACTCACATATTTTGTAGAAAAAAAAAAAAGAATGTAGCAAATGGGTCAGAGTTGTATGAAAAAACCCCAAACAACGTTCCCCCCTCCCCCAAACACTCCAGATTTGTACAAGGTGCTCTATTTTCATCTGGCCAGGGCAGGGCTGTACCGCTTCAGCTGCAGCAGCTGCACTTCTCCGACGCCCCTTTGTAGATGCAGCCCTGGGCACACTTGGTGCAGCCCACCGGGCGGGCAGCAGCAGCAGCTCTTTTTGCAGGAGATACATTTGCACTCTTTGCATTTGCAGGATCCAGCGCAAGTGCAGGAGTCACCGGTAGCGCAGGAGCAGTTGGGGTCCATGGCAAGTTAGAGTGGTAGCTGCAGTCTCGGTAGGCAGTCGAAGGAGTAGTGATGCTCTGGCTGCGTTCAGAATTCCATTTTTTTGGTAGCAAAAAAAAAAATCCCTTAAAAATATTTTTTAAAAAATGCACATCCATGTTTACTGCTGTATTATGCACAACAGTGAAGGGATAGAAGCAGCCCAAATACCCATTAGCAAACCAATGGACAGAAAATCTGTGGTATATTCACACAATGGAACACTACACAGCACTGAAAAACACTTTAAAAACTATTTACTGTCAATTTGGAACTGACTTGTAACTGACCCTCCAGTGGGTTTCTGCACAGGAGATCACCCATCTTTTTCCTGAGGCCCTCTGGTGGATTTGAACCACTGAAGATGAATGGCCTCCCATTGTGCAAATCCCAATAGACCAGCGTTTCCTTTAAAAAAAAAAATTCTTTCTTTTTTAGTGTTTTAAATGCAACATATATATTTTTTACAGCATATTCTTTCCATTTAATTTTTCTGCATTCATTCACTGTTGCACATTTTCCTCCCTGCCCACCTCTACCTCCAGTTCGTTTTTCTCTTTGAAAAAAAATTCTTTCATTGTTATACAGTCCCTCCCAGTTCACTGTCCACTTTAATATGCATTTCTTTTTCTATAATCTTGTCATGAAAATACCTAATCCTATATTCCTTTTAAATAGTTCTCTCCCTCATCTGTTTCAATGCAGTATACATTACTT